TCCGACATCCCTCACCAGCTCTTCCTCAGGAGGCCAGAAGGGAGGGGCTAGGTACCCCTCCTGGAAGAGCCCTGAGAGGTGGCCATGTGCCTCTGGACTTTGCTGCGTCTTGATGCCTGGAGTCTGGTCTCAGTTCCCTCTGGCCCACAGGGTGGAGGCTGTATTGCCACCACTGATCTAAAATCTGAAAGGGGTTAACCTGTGTCCCTCCAGAACCACGACTGTAAAGCCTGTAAACTCATCAGCGCCACCTCCTGGGGTGTGGGGATGCGGTTCTGCCTGTCAGATCTTGTGTTGGTGCCAGTTTCAAGGTAAATGACAAATTACAAGATCATGAACTCTCTAACACAGAAAGAGACCTGCCAGGGTGCGGGGCTGCCCCCCCCCACAGTGTGGCCGCCTGTGCTGCTCCTTCCCAGTCGCAGGAGGTGAGAACAGCTGCTTGTGGAATGACGGGGACATCATTTACTCCATTTGTGAAATTGCAGAGCCTGTAGTGGCCAGGCCACGCCTCTGGGGCCCACATGCTCCAGCAGGTCAGGGGGACCCCATGTGCCTCATGGAGCTCAGACTGAACAACACGGCAGTGCCAGCCGCAGGACCTCAGCTGCTGATGGAGCAGGGGTGACCCACCACTCGCCTAAGGGTGTCCCCTGCCTGTGTTAGGAGCAGGCGGTTGCGATATGATTCCCCCAGGGACAGTCAAAGACCCGAGGGCTCGGAGACCTGGGCCACATTTACCCAGGGAGGGGCTGGGATCTGGGACCCCAGGCTCCCCCATAGACTCAGCCCGTGGAATTCTGTGTCTCACATCCCTCCACACACTGGGCTCTGGAAACCACTGAGCCAGCTGTAAGGAGACCGAACAGACCATTTGTCCACAGTCATGCCATCCAGGACGGCCGCCCCGATCACCCGCAGTCAGTAGCATCTACTTCAAATTGATTGACATTAAGTAGAAGAGAACATCAGGGCCAGGCACCCGGCCACATTTCAGGGCTCCCAGGGCCTACTGGCTGCCCCGTGGGATGGCCCGGGGCTGGGGTCTTCCCAGACAGCACAGAGGCCTGGTGGACGGGTCTGGTCTCTGTATCACACTCCTGAGGGCACACGTGCCTCCACCAGCTCCATGCTGAGCACCGACTGCGTGCCAGGCCATGTTCTGGACACTGGGATGCAGCAGGGAACAAAGTGACAGACATCTCACCCTTTAGAACTGACGTTGGGAGGGTCCAAGGATGACAGGATCAGTAGGAAGTGACATTACATGCCGGGCCGGGAGCCAAGGCAGGAAATGAGGAGGCCCAACCCTGGCCAGGTGTGAGGCGAGGGCTCACCATGAAGGCAACATTTGGGTTCTATTTAATGACAAGTAACAATTGCTCATGCTCACAGGGCCTCGTGTGCTCCAGTGCACGCACTGCGTGGTAATCAGATTGGGTAACTGCATATCTGCCAGCCTAGCATTTACTGTCCTTCTGTGCTGGAAGGGTCCGACATTCTCCTCTTGGCCATTTGAAGTTGTGTAACATGCTGTTAACGACCATCACCCCACAGTGCTCCAGACACCAGAACACGTTCCTTTTCGCTAGTGGAACGTGTGTCCCTTAACAGACCTCCCTGATGGTAAGCCAAGACTTGAAGGAGGGAGGAGACCAAGCGTGCAGAGGCCTGGGAAGAGCTTTGGGTGAGAGCACAGATATGCAAAGGCCCTGGGGTGGGCATGGCAAGGGAGCTGAGAAAACCAGGGGGATGAACCAGGGGGCTTAGAGCAGGGTGGGCGCCATGAGCCCTGGAGCGAGACGGAGAACTGGCCACTGTGGTGTGGGAGAGCACAGCCCCTGTGGCCTCTGGGAGGAGATAGGCTGGGGACAGGCCTCTCACGGTGGTGGCAAGGGCCGCAGAAGATGGGTGGGGTGGTGTGCAGCTCCTGCTGGTCTGTGGCACATCCCTGCCTTGTGTCCTCACAGAGGGCAGGGGTTCTTTCCTGCCTCTCCTAGTGCGGTCTTCCTCCAACGCTCCCCATGCCATGCCTCGTCACAAACTCTGGGGTCTCAGGTTGAGATGGGAGGTCTTGGCAGAGAGCGTGGCCAGCAGGATTTACCTGTGAGTCTCTCCCCAAAAGTGACAGAAACTCAGCCCTGACTCTCAAAGCGCGAAGGAGGCGAGTGATGCGGGGGCTGGAGACAGGGAGGACACCACAGACAGGCATGTCCAAGGCAGTGCCAAGACCCATGCCTTTCCCCTCCCCAGAAGCCACTGGCATCCCTTGCCACGTGAGCAGGACACAGGCAGAGTTTACTCTGTAAGCGCAGACTCCAGCCCGGGTGCAGCAGAACCCCAGGATGGAGGTCAGGGCCACACACTGCCCAGCTGGCCTTGCTGGTGCCACGTAGACAGGGCTGCAGGGGTCCTGGCTGGGCCTGGGCACTGAGGGGACCCGGACCACAGGATCAGGAGGGGAAATGCTCGCTGGCTGCATGTTGTGTTGTAATGTCACGGGGAACCACCATCCCCTCGCACGGGAGGCTGACTCACTTGACAGGATTCAGTCCCTAGCTGAAGTAGGTCAGGGTTGTAGACTACCCACTATGAGACTCCTGGTTCTCCTTCCACGTGGGCTTGGTGCTCTGAAGACAGAGAGTGGGACACAGGGAAGACTCCACACACCCCAAAACAAGGGATTTGGCCTCTATAGTGGGTTGACAAGTAGCCTCCAAAAGAAGTCTACCAGGAGCCTTGGGAAAAAGAGTCTTTACAGGATCTTGAGATGAGGTCATCCTGGACCACGGTGGGCCAAAACCCAAAGATGAGTGTCCCTATAAAAGATAGACAGGGAGATTTGAGACATAGACACACAGGGGTTCTGATCCTGGCTCTGTTCTATGCAGCTCTGTACAACTGGTAAGCCCCTCTGACCCTCAGTATCTTCTTCTGTGGAGTGGAGAGAATAATGCCAGTGGTTCCTGTCCTTTCTCGGGTTGTGTAGATGAGTCTTGACAGGTGCCTGTCACTTACCTGACACACCTGGCACCCCACCACATCTAAACAGGGGAGGCTGGGGGGTAACAGTATGACTAAAGCGAGAACTAGAGCCACGTATCAGACCCATTTGCTCATACGAAATCAGCATGGGGTCACAGTAGCACTTTTTCATTGTGATCGGTGGGATGGGATATCATGGAATAGGATAGGATGGGGTGGGGTGGGATATTATGGGATGGGATTGGATGGGATGGAATGGGATGTGATGGGGTGGGGTGGGATATTATGGGATGGGATGAGGTGGGGTGGGATACGGTATTAGTCAGGATTCTCCACAGAAGGAGACCCGTAGGATATGGACAGACAGAGATAAAGACAGATGGATATAGGGACAGGGTTAGTGATAGATAGAGATATAGGTTTATATACAGATATAGATTTGGAGATACAGAGAGATAATTTAGAGATACAGATTCAGAGATAAATTTAGATTTAGAGATAGGTTTATATAAACATAGATTTAGAGATTTAGATACAGATATAGGTTTATATAGAGAGATATAGTTTAGAGATATAGACAGAGGTTTGGACATAAATTTAGACACAGATATAGGTTTATATACAGATTTAGGTATAGGCTTAATTGCAGATATAGATTAAGAGATATAGATTTAGATGCAATTATATGGCTATAGATGACGTAGAGGACGTAGATCTAGATGACAAAAATGTAAGTGACAGATAGAGATGCAGACACAGATATAGATGACATAGGGACAGACCCAGATGTAGACATAAACATAAACATAGTTGCAGATGACACAGACATTATAGACATAGAGGGCATAGATACAGTTGATATAGTCACAGACATAGATGACACAGATATAGACATAAACACAGACATAGGACATAGATGACATAGACACTGATGAGAGACATATAAACGTAGACATAAATGATCTAGACAGAGACATAGATGATACAGATATAGATGTAAGCATAGGCGACATAGATGACAGAGACACGAAGACACAGACATAAACACAACATAGACACAGATGACAAAGACACAGATGACAGACATAGAGTCGTAGTCATAGATGATATAGACAGAGATGCAGATGACACAGATATAGATACAAACATAAACGTAGACGCAGACGTGAGGAGTTGGTTCTCGCTGTGATGGGGTCGGAGAAGTCCAGGCTGTGAGTTGGCACGTGGGATCCCCAGGAGGGCTGATGACATACGCTCCAGGCTGAGTCCAAGCCTGAGGTAGGAGAAGACTGATGCCCCACTCAGGGACGGTCAGGCAGAGAGTGCAAATCCTCCCCAACTCGGCCTTCCGTCTTGTTCAGGCCTCCAGTGGGCTGGATGAGGCCACCCCACGGAGAGGAACCTGCCTCCTCAGTACAGATGTGAATGTCTGTTTCACCCGGAAGATGCTCACAGACACCCAGAATCGCGTCTCATCAAATATCCCAGTGACCCGTGACCTGGGCAGGTGGACATAAAATAAACCACAGATAGACAGCCCAGGATAGGACAGAATGGAGTCCATGTTGAAGCTTAGCAAGGCCCTAAGCGAGACAGCACAGAAGGAGCATGCGTGAAAGGAGACCACAGTGCAAAACATGTCTCCTGTGAGTGGGGCCCAGACAGTAGGGGTTCCAGAGAGTTCTACCTGCAGGGGGCACGAGCGGGCTGGGCGTGTTTAGACCCGGGCTGTGTTTGCACAGCAAGTGGCTCTTTTTAGATTAGACCATAGGTTCACCTGAACCGGCTGAGGTGCCCGACTAGGAGAAACACACCAGGGGGCCATAGATGGGACCTGGACCACTCTGTGGGCATCTCTCCAAAACCAAGACCACAGGAGGCAAAGCTCCAGAGCCAGCAGGCCCCGGACAGGGGCGCCCTGGGATGGCACGTCGCTGCCCGGGCAGGGAGGGCAGGAGGGCGGGCGCTGGCCCAGGGCCCCGGCATCCCCAATCTGTAGGGAGCCCTCCCCACAGGTGTGGCAGTGTGGCGGCAGCATGGAGGTGCTGCCCTGCTCACGCGTGGCGCACATCGAGCGCACCAAGAAGCCCTACAACAATGACATCGACTACTACGCCAAGCGCAACGCGCTGCGGGCAGCCGAGGTGTGGATGGACGACTTCAAATCCCACGTGTACATGGCCTGGAACCTCCCCATGACTGTAAGCAGCAGGGCACAGGGCCGGGGAAGGGCGGGCCAGGGCCACCCCAGCAGGCGACACAGGGTGACAGCGTGTGTTCCACCCAGGAAGGGCGCCCTCACACAGGCCTGGCCCATGCAGTCAGGGCCGGCCCTTTGTGCAGTTTTTTTTGTTGTTG